TTTTTGTTTGTTTTTTTCTCTTTTATTATTACTTACATATATGATTTTTAAAAAGTTTACTTTATGTGTGTCTATAAAGTTTACTTTATGTTTTATGTCTATATGTTTATTATTAGTCATATTATTTTGAAAAATGGTGTCACTTCTTTGATCAGACTTCTGTATGAGTGACACTTTCCATACTAATCATTAACTTATTATAATAAAGAAATAAAATATTATTTTACTTATTACTATTATTATAGTAATTATTATTATTATTTATAATTTTTTTTTTTTTTGTTATTATTAATATTATTGTTATAAATTATTACTATTGCTTATTATTTTATAATTATTATTGTTATTATTATTTACCTTATTATTGTAAAAATGATTTTTAAATGGAAAATAAATAGCTTGTTGTTGCTGTTGTTGTTGTTTTAAATATGCTCTACAATTTATCGTTTTTTGTACATTAATTTTTATTCTAGAAACTCTATTATTTGCTCTTAAAGTTTAATTCTCTAAACAATCAAAGTTTTATAAAGTTACCTTATCTTACCTAAAATAAAACTTCTTTAAGTTCAGTTACATCATTGCAAAAAATAAAACTTCTTTAAGTTCAGTTACATCATTGCAAAAAATAAAACTTCTTTAAGTTCAGTTATAAAATAAAGAAGTGTTAGAATTATAAAAAATTGTTGAAGTGTATAATTATTTAGCTAAGTAGTTAAAAAAGTCTTTTGAAGACAATTATTTCTTGTTGTTCGCTAATGCGTGTTAAAAACCTATTTAATTAAAAAAAATTTATTTGTTTAGCTTTCTATTGATTTAATTTTTCTATATGTTTGTTATGCTTTCAAAGAGTTTTATTATTCTAATTGTAATTAGTTCTCAATATTATGTCATCCAAATTTTATCCAAAAAAACGTGCCGTCAGAGCAAAAAAAATTTTGTTAAAACGGCTGGTAGCAAAAGAGTTAATTGTTTTTTTGTTTTTTTTGTTTTTTCAACGAGGTTGTAAATACATCAACTGAATTGAATTGGTAGAACATGCAGGAGATGTATACACATTGACTGAGGGTTTTGGTTTGGGCATCTATTTAATATTGAGAAAAATCTTTTTTAGGTTTTTAAATTTTTTCTGGTCTGGTTTAATTAGCATTCAATTAATGAGCGTTCAATTTAAAACAGTTTATGGAAAAACTTATCAATCACCATACAAAGATACATATGTGTGTGTGTATATATATATATATATATATTTATATATATATATATTTATATATACATATATATAAATATATATATATATATATATATATATATATATATATATATATATATATATATATATATATATATATATATACATATACATATATATATATATATATCATTTTAGTATTGCATATTGGTTTATAAAGCATTTCTGTGAAATTTCATGAAGATTGTGAAAATTTTGTGGTAGCTCCAACCTTGCCAATTGTATTGGTAGAGTAATCAAAGCTTACTATGAATAGAAAGATTAACAGAATAGAAAACACAAAAGAATACTTAAATGTGGCATAGATATTTTTGTTTCTCATGATATATTGAAAAACCCTGACATTGTTTAATGCAGTATTTGTAAAAACATCAACCCAATTTAGCGTCATTATGTACTCTCATTATCTAGCATGCAGGGGTGACCTTTACAAGCTATGTCTAAATGCAAGGACAGCCCACCAGGATAGATCTGCCATTGTACTTAAAATAAGTTTAAAGATCATTAAAAAAATCGGATGCCATCAACAAAAATGCTGGAGCAATGGAATGAAAAACTTATGGACATTAATGATTCAAAAGAACAGATGACCAAGAGCTGATAGTACTAAGTTCATTGGCATTCCACAATAAGTGGCGCTCAAAAAAAAAATAGAGTGAAGCTTTGAAAAAAATAGTCTTTATATGTGTATGAATATCCATAAGAAAAATGAAAACATGAATAGTTTTGGTATAAGAGTAAAAGAAACAATTCCAGCTATCAATGCAGTTAAGATTGTTATTAAAAAACTAGATAAATTTAGTTTGCAGTTCAAAAACTACATAGTTGATGTTATAACAGGTGGATCGTCTGTAAAGTAGCTCTTTATGATCTGGGTTGTCAGACTTTCTTTGAGTTAAAAAAGTAAAAAAATTTAGGAGATTTTAAATATTGTTAAAAAATTTTAATAAAAAATTTGAAAGTTCAAGTTGAATGTTTGAAAGAAAATATTAAGTTCAAAAAGCAAGTTTAAATTAGGATATTTTAGGAGCATTTTTGAAATTCAAATATATTTAGGAGAATTTAGGTCTTTTCAGGAGATTTTTAATATATTAGGATACTTTAGGAATTATTAGGAGACGCAGCCACTAGGGAATATCGCTAAAATCATTTTGATTAAAATAATACAGCCTACTGATATTCCTATAGTTTAAACACCAGTTTAAACCACCAGATACAATTTTAGAAAAATCATTTCCGGAAAAAAAAGAGAGACTATTGATTAAAATATCCAAGTTTTTGAAAAACGCAAAACCATCCAAAGAAGCAACCAATAACAACTAATGACCTTGATAGTCTCTTTGATATCATATCATGTACTCATACAATCAATGCACAGAGGCAGCATCATTTTGCAATGATCCCAAAAACTGAAAGATAGGTGCACATGTTTATTGTTCATGTCCTCTATTACAAAAAGTTCCTGTACTTGATCTTCTTTGGCTTTGTAATAAGAGGCTTTAAAAAAATTAGATTTTTAATATGCAAATTGGTTTATGTGATTATAAAGAATTGATTCACCTGCAGAGTAGAGAAAAAAGTAAAAACATTCAGGAAGAAGCTGAAAAAAAAAAGGAAAATAAAAGAAAATAAAAGAAAAAATGATTTTGATAAAGTTCAGGTTAGCTAAATTACAATGAATGAATGAAATTCTTTAACTGTTTTAAAACATTTCTTTCCGCAATCTAAAATAGACTTTAATACTAACTTTTTAATGTTTAATATATACTAAACATTTTTTGAATTCAAAATTTATATATTCTATATATACTATTACTTACCAATATTGTAAAGTAATAATACATATTATAAAAATTTTAAACAATTTAGGTTCTTGAACTAGCTTTTTGATCTGCTGGAAGAAAACAACAACAATGATACACACAATGTAAATGCTGCACAACTAAAGAACAAAACAAAAACTTTGGTCGACAAGTTGCTTGAAGAAAAACTTGGAAGATTGGCATCACTAGTTACAAGGTACTTAAAATAAACATGTCTAAAGCAAAACAAAATGACCATTACATATGCGGCATCAGCTGCAATAAGATATATCATTTCTAGTGTTGGTACGGCAGCTATAGTCACTCATATAATAAAAGATTTTATAGCTGCAGGTTATCTTTCTCCTGATATATTATACCTTTATGTTGATCCAAACAAAATGCAAAGGGCTTAGAATAATCTAATGAAAGAAAATATAATTATTGAAGCTAATAAATGTAGTAACGAAAATATAATTAAAATTGCGTATGATAGAAGAAAAGACTGGACCAAAACGTTAATTCCAGATAAATATGGAAAACTTCATCCTAGAGTCATAAAAGAGGAGCATATAAGTGTAACTTGGCAGCCAACTGGATGTTATCTTGCTCACATCATGTCAGAACTTGCGATTCATCCGAAAAAATTTTCAAAAAAAATAGCTGAAGCACTCTATGAGGTGCTTCAAAAAAAAAACAATACTACTGAATCATGCATAGTAATATTCAACTAATACCAACACAGGATGGTCAGGAGGAATTCATAGCCATCTTGCGAAAATGTTAGGACATAAATGCTATTGCGTAATTTGCATGAAACATGCAAATGAACTCAAGCTAAGACATTTAATTATATCACTCAATGGTCCGACAAAAAGCAAGGATGGATTTA